CACTCTTGTCGGTCATAATGTGTCATTCCGGAAGACATTGCCTATGCATGTCTCCCGGAATGACAAAATTATTTGCAATCACAATACGTTTGCAAATATTTGACCGACAAGAGTGTATTATGCACTCTTGTCGGTCATAATGTGTCATTCCGGGAGACATTGCCTATGCATGTCTCCAGGAATGACAAAATTATTTGCAATCACAATACGTTTGCAAATATTTGACCGACAAGAGTGTATTATGCACTCTTGTCGGTCATAATGTGTCATTCCGGGAGACATTGCCTATGCATGTCTCCCGGAATGACAAAATTATTTGCAATCACAATACGTTTGCAAATATTTGACCGACAAGAGTGTATTATGCACTCTTGTCGGTCATAATGTGTCATTCCGGGAGACATTGCCTATGCATGTCTCCAGGAATGACAAAATTATTTGCAATCACAATACGTTTGCAAATATTTGACCGACAAGAGTGTGTTATGCACTCTTGTCGGTCATAATGTGTCATTCCGGAAGACATTGCCTATGCATGTCGGGTCGTACCCAAATTTGTTATGAAAAAAGTGAAAAACCCATTTTTGCAGTGGTGGCGGTTTTGCAAAAATGGGTTTTTCGCTATAACTCATTAATTTTTTATAAACCATACCTGATCTTTTGGGGGCAGATGCTCATGGCTAATAAGCATAACATATATCAAATTCGGCAGAATCTAGTTTTATGTATATCTTATATAACTTAATGAGGTCCAAAAAAATATTTATATAGACTTAATTATAGATAGGGCATATACTATATAGTGTTTAAAACGCATATCAGATGAGAACTCTTAAATAACACATACTAGACACACTGAGCATTATCAATTACAGATCAATATAGGTTTTTGAGGGTATTAATGTATAAAGATGTCATATGCCATATGAGTATGAGAGTTTATAGCTGTGTATATATGAATATATTAAGTTCTGAGAGTGTCGAAATTATGAATATGAATTACATGTGTTTAGATAGGCATAATATGTGTGATGCATTTTAATATGTGTGAATATGTATATTCTGGATGTAAAAATGTAAATAAACAATATTTTAATAGAATAAGAATAAGAATTATCTCAGAAAGACCGGGAAGGGGTCCTTTCTCAAGGTCAAGGCCCCCTTCTAGTCTTTCTGGTGCCGGAAGGAGTGGCTTTTGCCAGTATTGCCGCTCCTTCCGGCATCATCTTTGCATTTCGCTAATGTCGCGGCAAGTGCATTCTGGCACCACAGGTGCACTTGCCGCGACATATGATTGCAAGTGTCTGCTGCTCAGCCCCGGATTCCGCTCCTGCCGCCCGGGATAAGGGCGGCATTTGAGAAAACCGGCCCTGGGGAATGTAAGCGAAGCTCTGGCCTGTGCTTGGGCCAGAGCCTGTATATTTCTTTCTTTCAGGGCCGAGTTCTTGCGAGACCATCGACATGATCGACGATCATCGCAGAACTCGGCCCTGAGGACTGTTCTTGCAGGCTCTGGCCTTTGCTTGGGCCAGAGCTTCGTTTTGTAAGCTTCCCAGGGCCGGATTCCGCTCCTGCCGCCCGGGATAAGGGCGGCATTTGGGGAAACCGGCCCTGAGGACTGTAAGCGAAGCCCTGGCCTTTGCTTGGGCCAGAGCCTGTATCTTTATGTCTTACAGGGCCGAGTTTCGACGAGAACATCCATAATCGACGAAACTCGGCCCTGGGGATTAAATGTGCAGGCTCTAGCCTCAGGAAAGGCCAGAGCTTCGTAGGGACGTTCTCTCGGGACTGAGTTCCTCTCCGGCCGCCCCGAATCAGGGCGGTCTTTGAGGAAGACGGCCCCGAGGATGGTATGCGAAGCCCTGGCTTTTCCTGAGGCCAGAGCTTGTAATTTTCATTCAAAGCCAAGTTCCTCTCGGATCGTGCCTAATGAGGACGACCGTCGAGGAACTTGGCTTTGAGGAGATGAATTGCGAACTCTGGCCTCGATGAAGGCCAGAGTTTTGAATGGAATGTTTTGATGGGATGAGCCTATGCTCAGTAAGCTCGTCCCATCAAAACATTTGTTTAAAAATTGAATAAGAAATTATCGTATGCATTGAAAAATTAAAACAATAAATATGAATAATAATACTATATAATAAGAATATGATAAAATAAATATAAAATTGAATAAAAAATTCCAAAAAAAATTCAAAATTTGAAATTTGAAAGAAAAAAATAATAACTTTGATATGAAAAATAGAGATTTGAAAAAACTATATTTGAATAGTATGAGTATTTAGAATCATAATGAGAAATAAAGTATATTAGAGGAAATTTAGAAATATTTTGATATTGATATATTAATATAATGAAGTATTCGAACAAAGGAGTTTACAAATGCAATATAATAGGATAGACTATTGCATTTGTAAACTCCTTTCGCGAAACAAATTTTCAATGTGACATTCGTGCCACAAAGTGAAAGCTTTTCTCGAAAGGAGTTTACAACTGCAATATAATAGGATAGACTATTGCATTTGTAAACTCCTTTCGAGAAACAAATTTCGAATGTGACATTGAAAACAAAAAGTGCACGTAATTCACGATTTGTGCTCATATTTGCAGGGTCTTATCACTAGACCCTGCAAATATGGGCACAATACGAGAATGTTGCTTTCGATGTCGCATCGAAAACAAAAAGTGCACGTAATTCACGATTTGTGCTCATATTTGCAGGGTCTTATCACTAGACCCTGCAAATATGGGCACACTTCGAAAAATTACAATTCATTATTTGAATCAGATTTAATGTAATCATATATATTTGAAATAAACTAACACATATACTATACAACATCTATACATATATGCATTAGTATATTTCCACAAAATTCATATAATTTGGGAAAAAATGAAAAGAATGTGCGTGATGTTCTGTCTAGAACATAAACAAATAGCACATCACGCACACTCAAGACATAGTAAAGACGTCCTATAAATATGAATGTCTTTACTATGACTTCACCCCGGATAACCTCGATGCAAGGAAAAGTGGAGCAATCCACACAATTGCTCCACAATTCAAGTTCATGTAAGGATAGAATATTAAATATTCTATCCTTACATGAACTATTCCTTGCTTCGAGGTTTTAGTTTCAGATTGTGCGTGCCATCCAATCCTAAGCACAAACGGATTGCATGGCATGCACATATATACCATAAGAATGATACTACACGAATTTAATTACCATAATACGATTTTTTTGGTTTAATAAGATGAGATTTAAAAAACTCAGCTATACTCATTTTGTTGTATAAAATATATATCAATCATATAAAAACCTAATAATATTATTCCATTTTCTGAAAATATTTTATATTTATTGAAATTCGTGAAATATCTTGATCAAATTTCATAATTCTCACAAAGACACACTGAATTCATATGAGCATAGTTATGTAAATATATGATATAGTAATAAAAATTGTATATCTCAATTTCGTTTCAAATCTGAATGTGATGCTCAAAGCATATAAGAGATAGAAACTTATTAATTGTGAAATATGTGGGTACTTGACAAGTGTATTTTATCTGTGATATTATCTCAAAATTTAAAGATATCAAATAATAACTTACACAATATAGTTCAAGACTCAAAAAAGAATATAAAAGCAGAACCTTATAGATGAGTTATGATATATTGCCGTTTCAGGTTTTAATTTTATCCAATATTCGCAAAGTACCCATTTTTGCAGTAACCGCCGCCACTGCAAAAATGGGTTTTTCACTTTTTTTGGGAAAAATTTGGGTTCGACCCTATGCATGTCTCCCGGAATGTTAGCAAGCTCCGCATTCATAACTTGAATGCGGAACTTTGACCGACAAGAGTGTATTATGCACTCTTGTCGGTCATAATGTGTCATTCCGGGAGACATTGCCTATGCATGTCTCCCGGAATGTTAGCAAGTTCCGCATTCATAACTTGAATGCGGAACTTTGACCAACAAGAGTGTATTATGCACTCTTGTCGGTCATAATGTGTCATTCCGGGAGACATTGCCTATGCATGTCTCCCGGAATGTTAGCAAGCTCCGCATTCATAACTTGAATGCGGAACTTTGACCGACAAGAGTGTATTATGCACTCTTGTCGGTCATAATGTGTCATTCCGGGAGACATTGCCTATGCATGTCTCCAGGAATGACAAAATTATTTGCAATCACAATACGTTTGCAAATATTTGACCGACAAGAGTGTATTATGCACTCTTGTCGGTCATAATGTGTCATTCCGGGAGACATTGCCTATGCATATCTCCCACAATCATACAATATCCCTTAATATATTTATAATTCCTCCACCTAATTTCCAAAATCATTATTATCCTCAATTTTTTTAAATATACTAATTTTATTTACATAAAATCTATCAAAACTCCGTAACTTTTTCAATAACCTTAAATTACGCTTTTCTAATTTTTTAAAATAACCTTAAATTATATTTGAAGAAATTATGTCTATGATATATGTTTTATGCTAGAATCTTGGAGTTTTCATGCACTACACAAGAGCTCCAAGGTTCCAAGAGTATCGCTCCGCTCCATTAATTTTTTTTAAAAAAAGTGCCGTGTGGTAAATTTGTCCTGTTCCCGGACTAATACCATGACTTTTCTTAAAAAATCAAGAAAATCCAAGAATAGTTATTTTTGATACCAATCTGATATATATGGTAACCTTGCAGTTATAGGGTCTAAACTCTTGTTTTGAAAATAAATATGTGATATCGATTTGATATATTAGCCAATAATTTTTAATAAAATAGCTTGATATCAGCTTCTATTGAATTCCGAAATACTTTCAGCATAATCTATCTACAATTTAACTATAACATTTAATGGAATGCATTTTTTTAACGAATTACAAGATGAAAATCACATAATGTATACCTTTAGTAAATAAAAATTTATAATACAACTAAATTTATAATTTATTTAAACCGGTTCAATAACCTGCTTTTAATTTAGGTTTTCAAAATCAATTTCGGGTATCGAAATGTCACGTTGTAATAAGCTATTTGGCTTATTTGGCGGTATGTTTTGCGCTTTGCGCACAACATTTCCATTCTTCAGTTGTGAATTTAATCGTTCCTTAATGTAAGCTATAATTTTTACATTTTCATCCAAAAGTGATGAAATAAAATCACAAATTTGTTTCTCCTTCTCTGCAAAAAATGTTGAGCATTCTTCAGAATATTTTTGTAACTCCTGGGATTTTTCGACATCTTTTTGTTTAATAATTGTCTCAATTTCAATCTTTTTATCTTTTAGCATTTGAATGATTTCCCGATCTTTCGTTTTTATGATGCGACCAATTTCATTATCATTCTCCACTTTGAGTTTTTCAATTTCTTGTTCTTTCTCTTCTTTAAGCTTTGAAAGCTTTTCCTTCTCTTCTTTAAGCTTGAAAATTTCTCGTCCTTTATCTTCATGAAGCTTCGAAAGTAGATCTTTCTCTTCTTTGAGATTTGAAATTTCTTGTTCCATCTCTTCTATAAGATGGGAAAGCAATTCCTTCTCTTCTTGAAACTTTGAAAGTTCTTGTTCTTTCTCTCCTTTAAGCTTGGAAAGTTCTCCTTCTTTTTCTTCATTAAGCTTCGAAAGCTGTTCATTCTTTTCTTTAAGTTTTGAAACTTCCTGTTCCTTCTCTTCTTTAAGCTTCGAAAGTAGATCTTTCTCTTCCTTGAGATTTGAAAGTTCTTTTTCTTTCTCTGTTTTAAGCTTTGAAAGTTCTTTTTCTTTCTCTGTTTTAAGCTTTGAAAGTTCTTGTTCTTTCTCTCCTTTAAGCTTGGAAAGTTCTTGTTCTTTCTCTGTTTTAACCTTTGAAAGTTCTTGTTCTTTCTCTCCTTTAAGCTTTGAAAGTTCTTGTTCTTTCTCTCCTTTAAGCTTCGAAAGTTCTCTTTCTTTATCTTCATTAATCTTCCAAAGCTGTTCATACTTTTCGGGATGAAACCAAAGTAGCCGACAAATTGAGAGGAAAGTTTGGTCACAGACATCTATAAAAGTTATCAGCACCAATGAGTGATACCACCAGATAGGCCACCTATAATGTAGTTCATTGATGTAATCAAATCAATATATTAATATTTACCCTATATTTGAGCTTGCATTAAGTTTGCTATGAACGGTAACACTATGCTTTGTTGATGTGTATATCATCTATAGATAATATATATTATGTTGATGTAGTTAGACACACTTAGTTTAATAGTTAGTTATATGATACAAAATATATCTATGTTTGTGAGTAATATTGAGTGTGTTTTGAGTGTGTATATGTATGTATAATATATGTTTAGTAGATATATAAGTGATTTTAGTGTGTTTCATGTGTTTTTTATAAAAAAGAATTTCGATATCTTAAAAAAATGTGTCAAATTTGATTTGACAATGTGAATATAATTTATTTTAAGAGTATATTTGTTCTGTGTATGTTTGATGTAAAAGGTCCAAGATTTTTCGGAATCTCCAAGATATTCGCATCAAAAAAAGTTTCGTTAATTTTGATAAATGTATATGTGTGTTATTTGTTATATTATATAGATGCATGTTATGTGTATTAGAATGAGTGCTATTGAGTATTCACTGAGATATTAGCACATCAAAGGTGAAAAAAGTGACGTTTTTCCGAGCAAACCTTGATGCTACAAATTCTATGGTTATCAGCTCTATTCTTAATTTTGCATAATAGATAAATATATAACTATTAGTAATATTGTGTGGTATATTCAGATAGGCTCAATATTAACTATCAAAAAATTCCGTACGTGGAGCACATCAAAAGCATTCAATTTTTATTATATCTTATGAGGGTGATGTGTTATGAGCTTATAATATATATGAATAATATCTATATATATGTCCAAATATGTTATAAAAGATTGAGGCTTGTTGAGTTAGTTTTGAGGTGTGATTAAAATGCAATCAGCACATTACACATAAGCTTATATAATCTGAGTGTATTTTGAATATATTGAGTAAAATATTTTATTTTGTGATGTGTATTATGAGTTTGAGTTATTTTTTGAGAAAATATAATTTATATCGAAAAAAAAGTTTGTCTGTTTGTACTCATTTTGTTATAGATATCTTATATTAATATATGCTTTTTATTTATATAATAAAAGTTTTGTGTTTACTATTTATTTTTTGAGATTCTATGAGAAAAAACGTGACATTTTCCCGAGGGAATTTTGATCGAGCGAATTTTGTGTGTGAGTGTGATAAGATTGAGATCACAGTTGAATATAATATATCACTAGATATACTAGTATACTATCATATGCTATAAGTCTGTAGGATCAATATCCACAGAGATATAAATGTGTTTTTGTGATTAAAAAAGACGATTATTGGGGGTCAAAAAACAATTATTGTGCGTTATGTGAGTGAGCTATATATATGAAGTATATGTATGAAATATAGTAACCATTATATAGTATAACCTATTATATAGTGCCGTTCCGGACAGCTCCACCTGGTGCTGTGAAACGTGCACAACGAAAAAGTACAAAGGAATTATTTAAGACCGATACAAATGGTCCTACCCCCATATTTTCATATATAAAGATTCATTTTATATTATTTGTTTAGAGTTCTATGGAAATTTCGCATAATATCATGAGATTCGCTCAAACTCAGATTTCGCTCATTCATATATAGGATGATTACATATGTTATATATTATCATATTACACAACTTAAATTGATATTAAAATATTATTCACTGAATTATTATTTAAAAAACGTTATTTTTATGTGACGAAACTTCAAACAGAGAGAATCATTTAATATTGGTGTTTTTGAAGTAACTATCATTTACTTAAAATAAGCACTTATCACTAGTATATATCAACTTTGAATCACATTTATATCATATCTATTTGTCAAGTTATTATCTAATTTCATATATCTGTGAATGATGCGTTTTCCAAAATTCATTCCGTATTATCGCATATTTTACATAGACTTTTTCCCGACATACGGCAAATAAATAAATCGGACTTTAACTCATTTAATCCAAAAAATGTATAAACTTCCTAACTTAATATATTGAGTAGAAATGAATCACTATGAAATTTCAAAGTTTGAATTTGATATTAAATATCAAATTTAAAAAATTGTGTAAGTATAGAAAATAGCATGTTTAGTCGTATTTAAATTATGAGTAAATTAATTTCATCGGATAAAATTAGCATAATATTGTGTTTTTTATTACAAAATAAGATCTTTTTAAAATTTAATGAGATTTACACTATATATTATATGGATACTTCGTATATACACCTAAGATAAGATTTGTTCGGTGTTATTTTAAGAATTAAGCTTAATTTTACTGAATATTTTGAAATTTCGAAATAATTTATGGGTTATATAGTGTGTTTATTGGGTTTATTAGGATCTAATATGTATGATAACATGATACATTGTTGGATTTGTGAATATGTGAATAATGTAAAAAAAAATTAATCTAATTCCAAATGAATAATATGTAAAATGGCATATTTGATATTTTTATGATACAAAATTATCACTATTATCACAAATTATGAGAAAATCCATGAAATCAAATTCCAAAAAAATTTTGAAAATCAAAAAATGATTAAAAAAATTACAATTTGATAGATAAAATAAGAATTTTAAGATTTTCTGAGTCGATAAATCTAAATAATATTGGGTTTATATGATTTTATCCGAATGTGTTAATATAAATATAATAATTTTTTTAAAAAATTAAAAGTTATTAAGATAATAATGAAGAGTTAATATGAGTGATGAAGAGATATCGTAAGAGTAATAAGAGCAGAAGGTCTGGTAAAAGAATAAAGTAGGTGAAATTATGTAATAAAGTAGAATTGAGATATTAAAAACAAAATTCGAGAAAAGAGGTTAGAGTAGTATGGCTATGACGATAGCCATACTACTGTAACCTCTTTTCTCGAAAAACACACTTTTTTAAAAAAGAATGTAATTTGAAAAACAAAATTCGAGAAAAGAGGTTATAGATGGATCAAATGGTTTTGTTGGATTTCGGAAAATAATTTCGTTTAATTCTCTTAGTAATTTTCCTCCTTTGCTTCTTGATTGAGTGCTTGTTAAATTTTGAATAACATAATGTAAATAATGACCTGTAAAAGGATTAATCGTCAGAGCTTGGAGGATACAATTAGCATAGCAATTGTTCATTTTATTCAATAAACCTCCGCTATAATCGTTTGAAGTGCGAAATGATATTGACGTTGATATTTCAGAATACAATATTTGATTACGTGATTTTATTTGTTTTTCTTCAGGATCATGTTGTAGAAATTTCATTTCAAAGGAAATATCTTGTGTTGGAAAGAGACAGATATTATCTGCAAAATTAATATTATTATGTTTTCCAAAAAAGGAATAAGATGGAGTATAAAGTGTTGATTTTGACCGAAAATATTTGAGTAAAATTTCCCTCTGGCGTTTAAAATCAGCTAATTTTGGTTGCATCCTAATGCCATAACTACGTGCAGCGTTCAAATATTTCAATATTGGAGATTTGAGATTTTCTAAAATTTCTTTTATAATTGCATAGAAATTTGCATATATAGAATCATCTGGATATTCAGCTTGATGAGATATTAACAACAGCAAAGATGTTGTGACAATATCAAATATCTTGGAAATGTTCGGCTTATCTGGAATTGCGTGTTCAATATAAAAATTAATTTTTGATTTAAATTGTTCTAAATCATGGAAGACGTGAGAGTCCATGGCTTCATAGCCCGCAATTCGAATAACGGGAAATTTGTCTCTGCTATTTGCGATTTTAGTTCCAAATGTGATCGAATTGCTAATAATGCGAAAAATCTCAATTTGGAATTTATTAAAATTATTAGTTTGTGTATGATCACAACTGCAAGAATCATTAATATCTTGATCAATTTGTTGAAGTAATCTTTTAATGAATATGGAAAAGAATGATGGCATTGCAAAAGTATATTTGGAATTAAGAGAAATAATACATATATCGGTTATAAGATTTTGATCAATATTATTTAATGTAAGGTCTTTGTTTTGAGAAATTAATGAAGTTGTTTTGGAAGAAGTTTGAGTTGTATTATGCTTTGGTTCTTCACCTCTTGTTGTTGCAGAAGATGAAGAAGTTTGAGTTGTATCATGCTTTGGTTCTTCACCTCTTGTTGTTGCAGAAGATGAAGAAGTTTGTGATTTACCTTTTGAATTGCGTTTATTTATTTTTTCGATTCCTGATTCTATATTTTCAGAAGTTGAAATACCATTTACATTCGTTCTTTTTTCTTGAATTTTATTTGGTATTTTTTCAAGGTTTCGTGAATATGATCTCGGTTTCTTACCTGAGATTTCTTTTTTATCATTAATCTTTGCATGATTTTTGTCCAAAAATGATAGTAAATTCTTCCATGCATTAATAGCTATTTCTAAATTAGATGCTGAAAGTTTTTGACTTTGCCAGCCCACTAAGTATAAAATGGATTTGGAAAAATGTTGAATAGGTATATCTTCAAAATTAAAATCTTCTGTTAGATTTTCTCCTAAAACTTTTGTACCTCCTGAATCTATTTTAAGCTCATATGTCAAATTTAACTTTTCCCAATTATGTTCTATTCTTTTTTCTGTATCTGCGACAGCATGAGCTGCTCCATTGACAAGATCTTCTACTCTTTCATAATTTTTCGAAAACATTCTTATTAAGGCGTTTATATGTTCAACACTCATTGTAGTGAGGTGCTGTGTATCAATGTTTTCATAATTTTGAAACGAATAGTAAATCGCTCCAATGACTAATTCGATTCTTCTGAGTACTTCCAATCTTCCATATAAATATGCTAAATGCGATTTATTATCATTATCTATAAAATCATCAAGTCTTTCGCTGCAACCCAATTTTTGGTATTGGTGGATAAAGTGCCTTATAATCAAGAAGGCAATCTCCAATAATACTAATCTGGTTTTGACAGTGATTACGGGATTTCGCAATGTTTCAAAAATCAAAGCCATTGGGCAAAGCCAAAGCATTTCGTGATAATGTTCTTCATCGAATAATTTCTTGCAATTACTTACGGAAAAAAGAGCAACTGCATAAGAGTCATTCATTCTTGACTGGTCTTGAATATCTTCTAGGCAGGCATGTAGCTTTGTAACTTTTTTGATAATTTCTAGACTAACATATTTGTCGGAAGGATAACAAACAAAAATCCTTTTACCGATGTCTAAGACAAGAAAAGTACGAAGATTCTTGCCAATATGAATTATGTCTGGAATTAAAATGTAAGTTGAAGCGATTTTTTTAGCAATCGCCTCAATAATGGATTGTAGGGTGAAATTTTTGGGCAAAAGCTCATTTTCAAGAACAGTGAATAATTTGTCATAACCAGTTTCACTGTCCACTATGACAAATGGAAGATTATCTCTAACAACGCTTCTTACTTTTGAAATGGATTGCTGAACTTCAGATTTAATATCTTTTACTGAACCTGTTTTGTGTTTTATCAAGTGAATTATTAAACTTGGTCCGATAAAATTCAATGGCATTAATAAAAATACGAAAAGTGCTATATCTTTAGCATTTTCGTGTTTTTCTGAATATAATGCATCTATGCCTAAACTATATACGGGTGTAAATTTTTCTTCATTTCCGTCCTTTATTACAATTTTTGGAGGAATTTCTTTAATTATAGTGTATAATTCACAAATTCCTGAATCTTCAATTAGATCATTTTTTATGAGTTCTAAAAGTGGACCGTATTTGTCATATATAGATGATTTCGATGGTAAAGGAATGTAGAGGCGCATTGTTTTATAAGTTTTGGGCGACATAAAATATAAGATGAAAGAAAATTCATAAGTTTCTTCTTCATACCTCCTATTTTTAGGATCTGATATCTGGGCATTATAAACGATATCGGTTAATATCACTAATCCTTCTTCAGATTTCATATCAGAAAACATTTTTTTGATTTCTTCTTTTTTTTCGAGAATATTTTTGGGCTTTTCAATATTTTCTTTGGTTTGTGGATTGTTTTCTTTCCATTGTTGTGAAAGTTTTTCGCGTCTAGATAATAATTTGCGCAATAATTCACTTTTTGCCTGGTTAGCGATAATTGATCTTTCTTTTGCCATAGCTGAATATTCGTTCGTATGAGTTTCAATGTTTTCCTTCGTTATTTGAACATTTAGGAAATTATTGCGAATATAATCGAGGATTTGTTGAATAGTTTCGTCGGATGTTGAGCGTCCAATCAAATTAAAAACAAATATTGGCTCGTCATAAGCTTTTTCGGTAGTAATGTTAGGAAATAAACAAAAATAAAAATAAGATAAAATTAAAAGATTTAGGAGTAAACATAATGTTTGAAACAGAATAAGTGTTGTTTAAGGATTTTGTGTGGAAATTTAATAAAATTAATGAGAATTAAGATTAAAGTGAGATAAAATTGGGTGATGGCGAGATTGATGAATAGGCAATGTCTCCCGGAATGACACATTATGACCAACAAGAGTGCATAATACACTCTTGTCGGTCAAAGTTCCGCATTCAAGTTATGAATGCGGAACTTGCTAACATTCCGGGAGACATGCATAGGCAATGTCTCCCGGAATGACACATTATGACCGACAAGAGTGCATAACACACTCTTGTCGGTCAAATATTTGCAAACGTATTGTGATTGCAAATAATTTTGTCATTCCGGGAGACATGCATAGGCAATGTCTCCCGGAATGACACATTATGACCGACAAGAGTGCATAACACACTCTTGTCGGTCAAATATTTGCAAACGTATTGTGATTGCAAATAATTTTGTCATTCCGGGAGACATGCATAGGCAATGTCTCCCGGAATGACACATTATGACCGACAAGAGTGCATAATACACTCTTGTCGGTCAAATATTTGCAAACGTATTGTGATTGCAAATAATTTTGTCATTCCGGGAGACATGCATAGGCAATGTCTCCCGGAATGACACATTATGACCGACAAGAGTGCATAATACACTCTTGTCGGTCAAATATTTGCAAACGTATTGTGATTGCAAATAATTTTGTCATTCCGGGAGACATGCATAGGCAATGTCTCCCGGAATGACACATTATGACCGACAAGAGTGCATAACACACTCTTGTCGGTCAAATATTTGCAAACGTATTGTGATTGCAAATAATTTTGTCATTCCGGGAGACATGCATAGGCAATGTCTCCCGGAATGACACATTATGACCGACAAGAGTGCATAATACACTCTTGTCGGTCAAATATTTGCAAACGTATTGTGATTGCAAATAATTTTGTCATTCCGGGAGACATGCATAGGCAATGTCTCCCGGAATGACACATTATGACCGACAAGAGTGCATAACACACTCTTGTCGGTCAAATATTTGCAAACGTATTGTGATTGCAAATAATTTTGTCATTCCGGGAGACATGCATAGGCAATGTCTCCCGGAATGACACATTATGACCGACAAGAGTGCATAATACACTCTTGTCGGTCAAATATTTGCAAACGTATTGTGATTGCAAATAATTTTGTCATTCCGGGAGACATGCATAGGCAATGTCTCCCGGAATGACACATTATGACCGACAAGAGTGCATAATACACTCTTGTCGGTCAAATTCCGCATTCATTATGAATGCGGAACTTGTCATTCCGGGAGACATGCATAGGCAATGTCTCCCGGAATGACACATTATGACCGACAAGAGTGCATAATACACTCTTGTCGGTCAAATTTTGCATTCAAGTATTGATGCAATTGTCATTCCGGGAGACATGCATAGGCAATGTCTCCCGGAATGACACATTATGACCGACAAGAGTGCATAACACACTCTTGTCGGTCAAATATTTGCAAACGTATTGTGATTGCAAATAATTTTGTCATTCCGGGAGACATGCATAGGCAATGTCTCCCGGAATGACACATTATGACCGACAAGAGTGCATAATACACTCTTGTCGGTCAAATATTTGCAAACGTATTGTGATTGCAAATAATTTTGTCATTCCGGGAGACATGCATAGGCAATGTCTCCCGGAATGACACATTATGACCGACAAGAGTGCATAACACACTCTTGTCGGTCAAATATTCAAGTTATGAATGCAATTGTCATTCCGGGAGACATGCATAGGCAATGTCTCCCGGAATGACACATTATGACCGACAAGAGTGCATAACACACTCTTGTCGGTCAAATATTTGCAAACGTATTGTGATTGCAAATAATTTTGTCATTCCGGGAGACATGCATAGGCAATGTCTCCCGGAATGACACATTATGACCGACAAGAGTGCATAACACACTCTTGTCGGTCAAATTCCGCATTCAAGTTATGAAATGCGGAATTGTCATTCCGGGAGACATGCATAGGCAATGTCTCCCGGAATGACACATTATGACCGACAAGAGTGCATAATACACTCTTGTCGGTCAAATATTTGCAAACGTATTGTGATTGCAAATAATTTTGTCATTCCGGGAGACATGCATAGGCAATGTCTCCCGGAATGACACATTATGACCGACAAGAGTGCATAATACACTCTTGTCGGTCAAATATTTGCAAACGTATTGTGATTGCAAATAATTTTGTCATTCCGGGAGACATGCATAGGCAATGTCTCCCGGAATGACACATTATGACCGACAAGAGTGCATAATACACTCTTGTCGGTCAAATATTTGCAAACGTATTGTGATTGCAAATAATTTTGTCATTCCGGGAGACATGCATAGGCAATGTCTCCCGGAATGACACATTATGACCGACAAGAGTGCATAACACACTCTTGTCGGTCAAATATTTGCAAACGTATTGTGATTGCAAATAATTTTGTCATTCCGGGAGACATGCATAGGCAATGTCTCCCGGAATGACACATTATGACCGACAAGAGTGCATAACACACTCTTGTCGGTCAAATATTTGCAAACGTATTGTGATTGCAAATAATTTTGTCATTCCGGGAGACATGCATAGGCAATGTCTCCCGGAATGACACATTATGACCGACAAGAGTGCATAATACACTCTTGTCGGTCAAAGTTCCGCATTCAAGTTATGAATGCGGAACTTGCTATCATTCCGGGAGACATGCATAGGCAATGTCTCCCGGAATGACACATTATGACCGACAAGAGTGCATAATACACTCTTGTCGGTCAAATATTTGCAAACGTATTGTGATTGCAAATAATTTTGTCATTCCGGGAGACATGCATAGGCAATGTCTCCCGGAATGACACATTATGACCGACAAGAGTGCATAACACACTCTTGTCGGTCAAATATTTGCAAACGTATTGTGATTGCAAATAATTTTGTCATTCCGGGAGACATGCATAGGCAATGTCTCCCGGAATGACACATTATGACCGACAAGAGTGCATAACACACTCTTGTCGGTCAAATATTTGCAAACGTATTGTGATTGCAAATAATTTTGTCATTCCGGGAGACATGCATAGGCAATGTCTCCCGGAATGACACATTATGACCGACAAGAGTGCATAATACACTCTTGTCGGTCAAATATTTGCAAACGTATTGTGATTGCAAATAATTTTGTCATTCCGGGAGACATGCATAGGCAATGTCTCCCGGAATGACACATTATGACCGACAAGAGTGCATAACACACTCTTGTCGGTCAAATATTTGCAAACGTATTGTGATTGCAAATAATTTTGTCATTCCGGGAGACATGCATAGGCAATGTCTCCCGGAATGACACATTATGACCGACAAGAGTGCATAATACACTCTTGTCGGTCAAATATTTGCAAACGTATTGTGATTGCAAATAATTTTGTCATTCCGGGAGACATGCATAGGCAATGTCTCCCGGAATGACACATTATGACCGACAAGAGTGCATAATACACTCTTGTCGGTCAAATATTTGCAAACGTATTGTGATTGCAAATAATTTTGTCATTCCGGGAGACATGCATAGGCAATGTCTCCCGGAATGACACATTATGACCGACAAGAGTGCATAATACACTCTTGTCGGTCAAATATTCAAGTTATGAATGCAACTTGCTAACATTCCGGGAGACATGCATAGGCAATGTCTCCCGGAATGACACATTATGACCGACAAGAGTGCATAACACACTCTTGTCGGTCAAATATTTGCAAACGTATTGTGATTGCAAATAATTTTGTCATTCCGGGAGACATGCATAGGCAATGTCTCCCGGAATGACACATTATGACCGACAAGAGTGCATAACACACTCTTGTCGGTCAAATATTTGCAAACGTATTGTGATTGCAAATAATTTTGTCATTCCGGGAGACATGCATAGGCAATGTCTCCCGGAATGACACATTATGACCGACAAGAGTGCATAATACACTCTTGTCGGTCAAATATTTGCAAACGTATTGTGATTGCAAATAATTTTGTCATTCCGGGAGACATGCATAGGCAATGTCTCCCGGAATGACACATTATGACCGACAAGAGTGCATAACACACTCTTGTCGGTCAAATATTTGCAAACGTATTGTGATTGCAAATAATTTTGTCATTCCGGGAGACATGCATAGGCAATGTCTCCCGGAATGACACATTATGACCGACAAGAGTGCATAATACACTCTTGTCGGTCAAATTCCGCATTCAAGTTTGTGATGCAAATTGCTCATTCCGGGAGACATGCATAGGCAATGTCTCCCGGAATGACACATTATGACCGACAAGAGTGCATAATACACTCTTGTCGGTCAAATATTTGCAAACGTATTGTGATTGCAAATAATTTTGTCATTCCGGGAGACATGCATAGGCAATGTCTCCCGGAATGACACATTATGACCGACAAGAGTGCATAATACACTCTTGTCGGTCAAATATTTGCAAACGTATTGTGATTGCAAATAATTTTGTCATTCCGGGAGACATGCATAGGCAATGTCTCCCGGAATGACACATTATGACCGACAAGAGTGCATAACACTCTTGTCGGTCAAATATTTGCAAACGTATTGTGATTGCAAATAATTTTGTCATTCCGGGAGACATGCATAGGCAATGTCTCCCGGAATGACACATTATGACCGACAAGAGTGCATAACACTCTTGTCGGTCAAATATTT